CACTACGGGCCGCGGCCGCCGCCGACCGCCCCGCCGCCGAAGCACGTGGGAAAGTGCACGGCGGACCAGCTGCTCGACATGTTCGACATGGCGCCCGCGATGAGCCCGATCATGAACCAGATGCACGGCCTGCAGCACTTCGTTCAAGACGACGACGATTACGGCGACATGGGCTACCACGGCGGTGGCAAGGGCAGCGCGCACGACGGTGGCAAGGGCAGCGGCTACGACAGTGGCAAGGGCAGCGATATGGGTTAGCTACTACAGCGGTGGCAAGGACAGCGCCTACGACGGCGGCAGGGGCAGCGGCGCGGGCTACTACTATGGTGGCAAGGGCGGCGCCTATGACGGTGGCAGGGGCACCAGTGGCAAGGGCAGCGATATGGGCTACTACATCGGCGGCAAGGACAGCGCCTACGACGGTGGCAAGGGCCGCGACTACGACGGTGATGGGCCACAGCCGAAGAAGCGCCCATGCAAGCGCCATGGCTACTACGAGCGCGAGGGCGACGACCACTACTACCACAGCGGTGGCAAGGGCGATGACTACTACCACAGCGGTGGCAAGCACGATGACTACTACCACAGCGGTGGCAAGCACGGTGGCAAGCACGACAGCAACAGCTACTACGGCAAGCGTGGCCGCTACTACGACAGCAGCCAGAACGACGTCGGCTACCACGACAGCGGCCACGACGGCGACCAGGGCAGTGACCGCAAGGGCTACTACGACGGTGGCAAGGGCAGCGGCCACAAGGGCTACTACGATGGTGGCAAGGGCAGCGGCCACAAGGGCGGCGACGACGACTACTACGTCCCGCGGCCGCGCGGTGGCAAGCACATCCGCCTCGCCGAGGCCCTGGCGGTGAAAGAGCTGGTCGAGGGCTTCGATGGCTACGACTATCAGCAGATGAAGTACATCGGGTGGAACAAGAGGCTCCACGCGCATGTGTGGAGGGAGGCCCAGCGCGCGTGGCGCGATGCCAACCTGTCGTAGGACAGTGGCTACCGCGACGGTGGCAAGGGCCGCGCCGGTGGCTACTACAGCTGTGGCCACGGGCTGCCACGACGGCGGCAAGGGCTGCCGCGACTGGCGGCAAGGGCTGCCACGACCAAGGGCTGCCACGACGGCGGCCAAGGGCTGCAGCGACAGGCGGCTTTGGGCTGCCACGACGGCGGCCAAGGGCTGCAGCTGAGGTCACGGCAGGTGCTGCATCGCTAATTCTAGGCTCGCGCGCTGCCTCCCGATCTCTTCGCAATCGCGACTGCGAGAATAGTTTCCCCCCTCCTCTCCTTCTGAAGCGATCAGAGGCTCAGTTGTCGTATATGAGTTTCTCATATACGACAACTGTGTCGTATATGAGTTTCTCATATACGACGGCGCTGTCGTATATGAGAAACTCATATACGACAGCGCTGTCGTATATGAGAAACTCATATACGACAAACTCGGTGTGATAGTGTTGGCGACAGCGCTGTCGTATATGAGTTTCTCATATACGACAAAGTTGTCGTATATGAGTTTCTCATATACGACAGCGGGGTGGTCGGGTTACAGTTTCCTGGGGGTGAGTCCTGGTGGCGACGATTTGAGCGGTCTTGGACCATTCCAGGGGTGAAATTTCGGTCGACGGGTTTGCATTTGGGGTCGTTCGTGATCAGTTGATAGTATACACCTCCCGCTCCTGTAGTTGGCGTCTTGTCTAGAATCCACAGATGTGCATCTGTTGTGGATAATTTAAATGGACGCGATGATAGGTATCGGCCCCACGGCGCGCGCGCAGATACACACCGCCACAGGGGCCACGAGCCGCAAACAAAACTGTGCAGCATCATCCTCGCAGCATCGCCCCCGCAGCCCGTCCTCCATGGCCCCTCCTTTGTTGCCCCCATCGCCCGTCCATCGTCGTCCTCCAGCGTTCGCTCATCATCCGTCCATCGTCCTTCCCTCGTTGCTTCTATCTTCCGCCGCTCGTTTCCCGTCGTCACCTCATCGCCTCAGCATCAGTGCCGTCATCGCCACCACCGCAATCGGTCTTCGTCGTCGTCGGTCACCACCGTCACCACCACCTTCGCCACCGTCGCCATAGCCACCAACTCTCCTCCACCGCCTCGTCCCATTCCCAGTGTTCAGTCGACGCTATCAGATATCCAAGTCCTCGTTCGCTCGAGCTCATGTGCCCCCCCCCGCCCCGTGTCATGTTTTCTCGTCGTGGTGTGTCGCATTGCCCTCGTGGTCGCCGCCGCCGTCGCCGCCGCCGTCGCCGTTGCCGTTGCCGTCGTCCTCATCGCCGTCGTCATCGCCGTCGCCGTCGTCATCGTCGTCTTCGCCACCGCCGTTGTCGTCGTCGCCGTCGTCGTCGTCGGCGGCGCCGTCGTGCGCCGACCCCCTCCAGAGCGGCACCGTCCTGCGCGCGCCCCCTCCGCGGCCAGGGGGGTCGGGGCGCGACAACGGCGACGACGGCGACGATGGCGACGGCCACGAGTGGGGGCATGAGATAACGATGGTGAGGAGAGCGCGGACGGACAGGATGTGCGGCACGGGAGGTGGTTCAAACTTAGTGCAACGAATGAGGGGGCGGGTGGAGGGACGGCGATCAACGTTGATGTTGTGGAAGGATCTCCAGGATGGCACACGACGAATGCTGCGGTGGGGAAGAGGGGCGGATTGCGATGATGAGTACGATGGTGATGACGACGAGCGATGACGATGATGATGAGGATGATGATGATGATGGGGATGCCGACGATGACGACAGTGACGGTGATGATGACGTGAGGCGGCGGCGAACCACGGCGTCGGTGCCGACGGCGGTGCGAATGTGAGAGGGGGAATGGAATGGTGTGATATTGCAGTGCGCGACTAAGTCGCAATATGCATCTCGGCCGCAGCCGTTGTGGTACGCGAGGCGCGTCTCTCTCACGCGAGGCGTCTGCGCGCCCCTGTGCACATCATGCCCGCGATGTCCGCCTAACTCAAGGCGCTGCGGGCCCAACGCCGTCGCGAGGGCAGGGCGGACTTCAACGCCGCGCTCGCGGCCACCGTCAGGCGCGTGAAATACACTAAATCACAGGCGAAGAAGAACGACAAGAAGGTTGGGCTCGTCATGTAGTCTTTATGTATAGTAGTGTTAGCTACTATACTGACTTGCATTACGTTGCATGTATCTGTGTGTTGATACACACGTGTACGAATCATATTGTATTGCGTTGCTGTGATTCGATTCAACGCCCCAATCGCTTCGTGTGTTACAGGGTTTGAATGTTTCAGGTGTGGGTTGGTAGGGTCGTGTTCACGCCATATCGCCCCCCTCCCCGAAAGGTAGATGCGGCGTTCAAGAAGCTGGAGCGAGCCATGAAACAGGCGGAGGCCGCCGAGGAGGTGTTCCGCATGGTTTTGCGGGAGGCAGAGGTGTGGAGGAATGTGCACATTCGTGCAACTGGTCGCCTCGTTGCAGCGGATGGCCTCGCGCGGGCACGGGGCCGCAAGGCCCCCCGGCGTCGCGTAGTGCGCTCTAGCAGCTTTGCGGGGTTAGCTACAGGGTAGCGGGGTAGCTGCTAGGGCAGCCCAGGCGTGCAAACGCATTCATCGTATCGCTTGTGGCGCTGCGCGCAAAAATGCAACGTCATGCACATGTGGGGTTGCGCGCCAGTGGGGTCTATAGAGCGGCGCTACGGCGGCGATCGAGCCTTTCGTAAGCATATTGGCCCAAGGTGTGCGCGTGTGTGTGCGCGCAGGCTCTTGCACGTAAACTGTTCTGGTTGCAATGGCGATGTCCACCAAGCAGAAGGCGATGGAGGCACAGGTTCGTCATGAACTTAGGGAGGAGCGTGAGGAGCGGGTTCGCCAGAAGAAAGAGATTGTCAAGGCTGCGAACAAAGATGTGGCGTCGACTCGCTCCCGTGTGAAAGAATGACCAGGAAGGCGTGCATGTGGTTCATAACGTATTGCTAATTAAGTTTCCCGCCCCATAACAACGGCCATCTCCCACCCTGGCCCCCAACAGCCTCAACAGGCATATGTCGACTACGCCGCGTTCCTCAAGGCGAAGGATGAGTGGATGAACTCAATTCTGGACCGTGAGGCTGCGATCGAGTCGCACAGCGTCGCAGTCGCATGGCTTGAGCATGCGAAGTCCATGGGCGTGGCCTGATCCCGAGTCGGATCGCGCATTAGAAATACAATGTGTAGAGCCGTGCATCGTGTGTCGAACTAGCTTGCATCTGTTGCATTGAAATACCATGCACATGATTGCATACGATCCCGTTTGTGGTTTGCGGTCTGGCCGCAGAGTGGTAACGACGACAGCGAAGAAGGGGAGGGGATGTGCGGATGAGGCGACGGCGCGGGGGGCTGCGCCATTGTTGCCCCCCCAATGCACCCCCCGCCGCGGTCGGGCCGCCCTGCAATTGCATGATGTTGCAGTTGGCATCTTATCCGTATCCCGTTTGGCTCGCGAGTCTGACGTTCGCGATCTCCACTTGCCACGTCGCAATCTGTCGCGCCATCTACTTGCGTTTACTACGCAATGACGTCCGTGCCAAACCTTACCGCTGAGCTAAACCATATGCACGAATGGGTGCGAACTCAGATACGCTGTGGGTTGGAACCCGCCGCTGTGGCCAAGTGTCAATTTGACCAGTTGCTCCTCAAAGTTGACAATCTGGGAGACCTGAGCACCGATGACGCGCCACTCCTCGCGAATGCCATTCGAGACAACGCGCTGGACCACTGGAGCTCGCGAGAGCTTGCCCAGTTTTGTTCGGCCGTTGGTAACAAGACTGGCTTGCTGGGATACACCAGCGGTTCTAAGAAGTGGCAGGAGGTAACCATCTTCTCTAAATGCCTCACAGCGACTGAGCTGGCTAAGTTGAAGGGGGGGGGGGGGGACTTGCCAGAGAAGGCGTGTGTAAACATTGTGGTCAACCGTGCCGCGCTAAATTGGCGCGCGTGCATTGTCTGAAAAAAAGCAAGGCGCGAGTGGCGGCTGTGGTGGCACATGCCGTTGGGAAATGTGACAATGCAGATGCCATTGAAGGATGTGAAGAAGAAGTTGGGCGCAGCTGTCACTGCGAAAGCGCGGGCCAAACGCGGGCACAGGACGACCTGGGACTACGACACCATCGACCAGATGCGCAGCGAGGCATGGTGGGGAGATGCGCATGACAACGCCGAAGGCCCACGCATGGAGGACATGGGCGCCGACGAGCCCGAGTTCGCACGAGGGTCTTCCAGCAAGATCAGGAAGACTACCACCGTTGAGCCCGTCGCGCCCCCCCGCGCCAAGGCCGCGATGCCAGATGTGACGGTCGGTGGGCAGCTGCAGATGTACCAGAACATGTTCGGGGGGCAGTTGGCCGCGGCGCTCTTCGCCAATGTGGCGCTCCATGGAGGACATGCAGCTGGGTCTGCAGGAGCGTCTACAGGGGTGCACGCAGGGGCATCTTCAGGGGGCTGCCCCCTGGAGCCACCAAAGGCGAAGCTTCCGCCTCGCGGGGGGCCAACGCTCGGCAAGTCGGCGACGGCCGAGCCAACAGTTGGTGACGAAGAGCCCGATGCCAACCTGAGCGACGAGGAGGCCGCCCTGCGCAAGCTGCCCGCCACCAAGGCGAAGGCGGCGGCCGCGGCGACGGCCGCGCGCAAGCGCCCCGCCGCGGCTGGCGACGCGATCGCCGATGCCGCCGAAGCAGATGCATCAGAGGATGCAGAGCAGCCGAAGAGCACGGGCAATGGGAAGGGCAAGGGCATCAAACACAAGCACAAAGGCCATAGCACATGCAAGGGCCACAGCAAGGGCAACAAGAACACGGGCAATAGCACGGGCAAGGTCGTCGCGAAGAGGCCCTCAAGCCACGTCGCGAAGCCGAAGGTGCTGCCGCCGCCTGCGAAGGCGGGGAACCTCCACTACAGGGCTGGCTACGCCATGACCCAGAACGACAAGCAGGTATATCGCTCCGTAGTGGGGCGGAGCGACAAGAGGATCAAGTGGGGCCCTGGCGTGCGCTCGCGCGCTGAGGCGTGGTCCGTTGCCTTGGCGTTCATCGACGATCGGTCGTGGGCCAGCGCATCTCACTGTTTGTTGTTGCAGCGATGGATTCGCTTGTGCATATGTGGTGTAAAACAAATACGGTGCGATCGTCGCATCCTGTCTCACTCGTGTCGATTGCGTTGCGGTCATCGCATATCGCATCAACCCGCAAGCATTGTGGCTGGTATGGCGTCGGGTCCGCGGCCGAAGCGGCCCCGAACGCACTCCGAGGCATTAGTTGAGGCCCACCGCGGCCCGTATGTTTCCCAGGCAGCATTGTCTCGCGTGCTCACTTACGTTCGTGGCAACGGGTTGCCAGACGCTGTCTCGCGGGGGCCCCAATATAGGGCGCATGAGAAACATGTGGCCAATGATCGTAACACATATGGCCTTATACTGAATGGCATGCAGATGCCTGGTGGCGACGATGACGATGGAGGCACATTTGAGAATTGGGCGTGTAACCCAGGGGCGTTCTTGTACGCCATATGCAAGAAAAAGCGGGCCGTTCAGGTCATTGATGCGCCAACAATTGCACAAGCACCCATGTTCTTTAGTTGTCCCTTGGACGATAATTCTTTATTTCGATGGTATATCGCCACGCGGTCCTCTCGCGAAAGGCAAAGACTACCGTGGTATGGATGCTGTGTACTGGTCTTTTGCCGAATTTGACGAACACTTGCAAAACGAAGATCTATGGTTCACCCTCAGCACCGCGCGCGTTGCCAAGGTGAAAGATATGCCCGGGGGCATCGGGCAATCTATCCGCATGATGCTCAGCGAGCTCTTTTCTTCATTGATCGGGTGGCGTTAACTTTGAGACAACGGGGGTTGCGCTGGATGTATCTGCGCTGGGTGACGCAACAACATACGCAACGATAGTTGCGATATCGGCGCGTGTTGTAGGGGGCAAGGAGTCATTGAGGGAGCTTCCTATGAACAGGGGGCACGCTGTCTCTAAGCCCTGCGCAATTTGCAGGAACGTCCTTAACAAGAAATTCGGCTACACGCAATCCGACAGTTCGGGGACATACGTTGATGATACCTGCCTTGACAACGTATACAACACCGACGCGACAGTCGTCGAGATCTTGAAGAGGTTGCGCCCTGATTGGGAGAGGTACCAGCGAAACGAGCTCACAGACGCGCAGTACACATCTGTGACGCAGGTGAAAAGGTTGGAATTTCCATCCAACGCATGTCGCACTGGACCCGTTTCTTAGATACTTGGTGATGACATTCCTCTGCTTCGATTGGATGCACGTACATTTCGTTAGTGGCATTTTTGGTCGGGAAGTCAGGGCCCTCCTAGAGCAAAGATTTCAAGGAACTGTGCAGCGCCGACGACCTCCACGATTACTTCACGAAGTGGACATGGCCATCCAAACACCACTCTGCTGCAACAGTCTGGGAAACGGGAGACTTCCAGGCGAGTGCCTCGCAAGAGCTATCTGCGATTCCCGTACTGGCTCTATACATCAGGCAAGTCATTGCCAATGCACCATCATGCGATGCAGTCGCAGACCAGATCGCAAGCATGCTGGCGCTGTGTGACGCCGTGGATGTTATTCTCTGCGCGTCGAGGCGATTGCCATGCACACGCGACGGGGTTGAGTCAGCAGTGTTGAAACATTTGGAGCTTCACCAGCGCGCATACGGTGCCAAGTATTGGGTGTATATTCATCACATGGCTATCCACTTGGCTGACATGTTTGAGAGGCATGGTGCTTTATCATGTTTTGTCCAAGAGCGGAAACACACACATGTCAAAACATTTGCAAAGGACCACCTGTGCAAGACGAGGCCCGAGAAGGCTGTAATGATCCAGCTCACGGCTCAGCACATGCATGATCTACAGAGCATCCGCGGGTTGTCACTGGAGTGCGAGTTCGAGTGCGCCACAGCTGCAAGCAAACGTTTGTTCAGTGCTTTGCAGCAGCTGCGGCCAGGAACGCATGCAGCAGTCTCGACCATTGAAGCGCACGCCGAAAATGGAGGAACAATCAAACGTGGTGACATAGTTTTGATGGGCCGCGATCGTGGCCACGTTGCAGTCCAAGTGTGGTCCCACGTGAAATGCGACGGAAATCCGCCGCAGAGCCTAGTTCAGATTCCGATTACAAAGCACGTGCATGCGAGCGAACACTTTTCTAGGCACGTCATCGATGATGCCCGCGATCCCGTTCGCATCCCCTTCAGTTCGTTGAGATCTCCAGTGGTTTACATGAGAGTTGGCGATCATATCGCGTGCATGTGGCCAGTGGAATACCGTACATTGTTCTGTTAGCGCATACTTTACAACAACAAAAAACATCGATATGCAAATAACACAACATGCAATCTCAAAAAGAACAAAACGCACGTTCCCAAAAAAACTCAAGTATAAACCAAACAAAAACGAACATGTCACTCCAAAAACTCCAACACGGCAACTAGTTATAACGAGTTACTAACTAGTTATAACTCCAGCTAACTATTACTAACCGACGCGTTCCTTCAGGCAAGCGCCCCCGTGCGCCCCCAAACTCCCCCAGGCGCTCCCAGACCTTCGAAGAGCGCCCAGGCGCTCCCAGGCCGCGCCAGGCGCTCCCCAGGCGACCCAAGGCGTTTCCAGGTGCTCCCGCACGCCTGAGTTGTTCCCAGGCCCTCCTGGACGTTTCAGGAGCGCCCAAACGCTCCTCGGCGGCTCCATGCAGGCGCTCTTCGGGCGGCCCAAAGCGCTTGCAGGCGCTTCCAGGAGCCCCCGGGCGTTCCCAGACGCTCCCAGGTGTTCCCAGATGCTCCAGGAGCGCCCATGCGCTCCCAAGCAGCCCCAGGTCCTCCCTAGGCAGCCCCAGGCGCTCCCAAACGCTTCCAGGCGCCTCCGCGCGCTCGCGGGCGCTCCCAGACACCTCAGAAGCGTTCCCAAGCGCGCCCAGACGCCCCCATGCGCTCCCGGACGCTCCAGGGGCGCCCAAGCATCCCAGGGTGCCTCCAGTCACTCTCCTGGCGCCCCCGATGCTCCCATACGCTCTCGGGCGCCCCCGAGCGCCTCAGGAAATTTCCAAAGGCCCCAGGGGCTCTATAGGAGGCCCCGGGAAGCCCGGGGAACCCCAAAGCAGCTCCAAAAAACCTCAGGGGAACCGCGAGAACACTAGAAAGCCAAAACAAGTTTCCAAGAAGCCCCCCGGTCGACGCGGCCTGGCGGGCCCCGACAAAAACATAAGTTTTCTCACAGCCCCCCCGCCCTCCCCCCGCGCGGTGGTCTCGTGGCGATGCGCCCGCGCATGCGGCGCGTTTGCGGCGCGTCCGCAGAGCCGCCCGCGCGCGCATGTCCAGTCGCGCAGCGAAGCGCCATCACTTTCGTGGGTCGCGCGGCGCCAACATAATTCAGCCGGTGCGACTCGCGAGCCTTCCCCCGCGCGTTCGAGCGCCGCCAACTCGCGCGAGGAAGGCGCGTGGCGCCCTGCGCCGACCCCCGCGCGTGAACTTGCGTCCTGAGACCATCGCCGACGCGGCGCACGAGTCCGCTCATGCGCGGGCGAACGCTGCCCAGTCGCGCGAGGAAGCCGCTTGGCGCCGCGCGCCGACCCCCGCGCGAACATCGTGTGCTGAGACCGCTTGCGACGCGACGCGCGAGTCCTCGTCCGTGCGTCCGAGCGCCGCTCGGTCGCAGGAGGGGTCTGCCTGGCGCTGCGCGCCGACCCCAACGCGAAAATCTCCGTTCCGAGATCTTCGCCGACGCTACGCACGAGTCCTTCCCTGCGCGCGCGAGCGTCACGCGGTCGCGACCGTTTGACGACCCCTGCGCGCGCGAGGAGACTGCTTGGCGCCGCGCGCCGACCCCTGCGCGAAAATCGCGCGTCGAGACCGCCGCCGATGCGACGCGCGAGTCCGCGCCCGAGGAATCCTGGCGCGGCCCGAGGGCACCCGAAATCAAAATTCAATTTTTCCCAGCACACCCCACCCACCCCGCGCGCGGTGGTCGCGTTGTGATACGTCCGCATGTGCGACGTCGTTCGACGTTCGTCGTTCGTAATTAGTCGTCGTTCGCAGTTCGTCGTTTGTACTCGTTTGTCGTTGGTCGTTCGCCGCCGTCGTCGTTCGCCTATAATCGCGCAGCGATGCATCCACGGGGAAGTGCGACGCAGGTCATCTTCCCTTTTTGCAGGGGCGGCGTGGGGGTGGAGGCGAGGAGGGAGCCCACTTTCGGACGCAGCCGAGGCAGGGTGGGGTGGGCTGGGACACGAGCACCGCGAGCGCGCGCCAACGCATCCCACCTCCAACAATCTAATTGTGGGTATGCGTGCGCGCGTTCCTTTTCAACACGCCCTCTCTCTCTCTCTGTTTCACGCATTGCCACCGCGTCTGCCCTGCTTTGTTTTTGAATGCGCTGAAAGCCGCGAACCGTCTATACAAAAGGGTAGACAATATTGCGATCGACAGCGCGAGTCCCACATTAATCGTGAGGAAGTCCAGAGCGAGAGCGTGGTTCCTGGGCGTCGAAGGCACGGCGCGCCACGCGAGAGCGCGATTCCTGCATACACTATGAGTAAGCCTAGCGCGAGAACGGGATTTTGAATACATGGTGAAAGAGCCGTTGTTGTGGTAGTCCAGGGGCCCGGGGCGCATTGTAAATCACAGCGAGCCTTGGGAGGAGCACTGCAATTGAACAAACAATGGGCAGGGGGAGCAATACTTATTCTTTACAAGTGAGCACCCGACACAAACGCGCAACAACAACCCGAACCGCGAAGCCCCACTTCAGCCACGCACCTGGGGACAATGAGTGATCGTTCTGGTTCCACGGTGCGGATTGCTGTTGCGCAGAAGCGCAACAACACTTCGCACCGCGCACCCCAACTTCAGCCACGCGCCGCGGAACCCCAGTTCAGCCACGCGCCCAGGGACAGTGAATGACCGCTCGGCCCACCCACTACTTCAGCCCACCGCGCGGGCCCCTTCCCTCGCCAAGAAGGATGTTTGGGGGGCGCCTCGGGCAGGTCGCGGGTAAGACCTCACGGCCCTGCATCCATAACCGTCCGCAGGGATGCAGGGTTTCTTTGCGCTGTAGCTGCCACTGACGCTTTGGAAAACCCATTCCAGAAGCGCCTTTACCTTTTTTGCCACCTTTTTCTCCTCCGCGCCCTCCTCCTCCTCCCTCCTCCCTTCCCCACCCTGTTCCTTCCTCCTGCTCCCGCTCCCCTCCCCTTTGTGCTGCCCCCTCCTCCTCCACGCCCTCCTCCTCCTCCTCCTCCCTCCCTCCCTCCCTCCCTCCCTCCCTCCCTCCCTCCCTCCCTCCCTCCTCCCTCCCCCTTCCCCTCCTTGGGTGAGCCTATTTCACCACGTTTTGCTATACTTTCCAATAGAAGTCCCACAAACCGCGTCAGGGTGGAGGGTAGTCCCTCCCCACCCCTGCTTCTCACAACCAGCACCACCTCCTGCCTTGCGACATTGGCCTGGCGGGAGCTTGCACCGTCCTCCTCCTCCTCCTCCTCCTCCTCCTCATCATCATCATCACCATCCTCCTCCCTCCTCCTCCTCCTCCTCCTCCTCCTTGTCCTCCTCCTCCTCCTCCTCCTCCTCCTCCTCCTCCCCCTCCCCGTCCCCCCTCCTCCTCCTCCTCCTCCTCCTCTCCTTCCTCTTCTTCCTCTTCTTTCCTCCTCTTCTTCTTCCTCTTCTCCTTCTTCTTATTCCTGTTCTTCCTCCTCCTCCTCTCCTCGTCCTCGTCCTCGTCATCCGCCTCGTCATCCGTCCTCCTCATCCTCGTCCTCGTCCTCCGTCCCTCCTGCGCCTCGTCCTCCGCCCGTCCTCCTCCTCATCGTCCTCGTCCTCCCCGCCACCCTCCCCTCCTCCTCCTCCTCCTCCTCCTCCTCCTCCTCCTCCTCCTCCTCCTCCTCCTCCC